GACTACCCAGTGCCCCAATTAGCGCCCAGGACGGGCTTGCTGCACCCCGCGTAGTTTACCTTTCACACTAGTGTGCCGATATCACGGTATCTGCGGGCGGGCGTAGCCTTCCGGGGGTTGTGCAATCACGCGCAATCGGTAGACTCCCACAACAACAGACACCACGGAGGGCATCGACCTCTCCGCCCTTAGCGGGGAAGAACTACAACAAAAAGTGGAGGAGATCGTCCAGCAACGAGTACAAGCCGAACTTGAACCCAACAGGATCAACGAGGGTGAAGTCACCTACGCCCAACCACCAGCCGTCAACCCAGTCCCACCTACTGGCAACCAGCCATCACCCTCCAGCCAAGGCAAACCAGCCACCTTCAACGACCCCAGCAGCGTCGCATACATTATGGCGCAAGCTGCTAAGGCGACAGCTGAGGCCATTGCTGAACTACCGGGCTTTGCCCGCTCAGGCACGATACGTGTCAATCCTGGCTCAGAGATAGAACCTTAGCTTGGTAGCGTGAAGAATGAGCAGGACTTGTATATTATGTTTGATATTTTTCGTAGTAAGATGATTTCATAGTTTCAGGAGGAGGGTGTGCACGATGCGTTGGAACTGGAGGTCGAGGTCAAGGTCGGAAAGAGGGGTGTGAATGTTGCAGAGCTCCGGAGACTTTATTGGCAATGATGTGGTACGACAAGTCTTTCAAGCTATGGAATATTCTCATCAGCAAGGTTTTGTACCCNGTTTCAGGAGGAGGGTGTGCACGATGCGTTGGAACTGGAGGTCGAGGTCAAGGTCGGAAAGAGGGGTGTGAATGTTGCAGAGCTCCGGAGACTTTATTGGCAATGATGTGGTACGACAAGTCTTTCAAGCTATGGAATATTCTCATCAGCAAGGTTTTGTACCCCCCGATTCAGAGCTTGATTCTGACGTGTGAGAGTCCACAAAAAGGCTGGAAAATAGTGACAGCGTTCTATCAGGAGAAGAAGCAGTCAGAAAAGTCGAGGTTGGAGCAGGACTGGAAGGAGTTGGAGATGAAAGCGTCTGAGAGTCCACAGGACTATATTGCCCGGACAGAAGCCCTTCGCTTGCATCTAGCGTCTGTAAGCATGATTAAGGATGAAACAGATGCCAACAAAGACATTGCTCGTGGCCTTNACGTGTGAGAGTCCACAAAAAGGCTGGAAAATAGTGACAGCGTTCTATCAGGAGAAGAAGCAGTCAGAAAAGTCGAGGTTGGAGCAGGACTGGAAGGAGTTGGAGATGAAAGCGTCTGAGAGTCCACAGGACTATATTGCCCGGACAGAAGCCCTTCGCTTGCATCTAGCGTCTGTAAGCATGATTAAGGATGAAACAGATGCCAACAAAGACATTGCTCGTGGCCTTCCCTCTTCGTATGTCGTGCAAAAAGGAATACTGCTTGCCCACGATGTCCTGACGTTGCGTACCCTCGAGACTGTGGTGAGGGACGCCCACGGGGAGATGGAGCGCGAGAGGAACAAGGAGAAGAGGCGCGAGGGGGAGCTCGCTCTCGTCGCGTCCGGCATAGGCCGGCGCTGCAGGGGCAGTGGGGGGGCATCCGGGGGTCAAGACGGCGGTCACGCAGCAGCTGGCGGTCAAGATAGAGACGGAGGGAAGAAAAACGGTGATGCGTTCAACGACGACCCCTAAGGATTTTGCCGCTACCACCAGTCCGAGCTTCACACGAACGAGCAGTGCCGTTTCCAGCGGCAACTACGGCGCGCGCGTTCGAGAGAGGGCGCGGAGGAACGCCGCTCGGGGGGCGGCAGCCGCGGTGGCGGCGGTAGCCAGCGAGGGGGTAGACCGCCGCCGGAGCCCGGCCGTGGTGGCGGGCGATGGGTGAGGATTGAAGGGCAGCAGCACCACACCGGTCATGGTGGTAGTGTCTGGGGCCAAGCCTCGCCCCCCCCGCGACCTCTTCGTGAACGTGGGCCTGGTGGTNAGAGACGGAGGGAAGAAAAACGGTGATGCGTTCAACGACGACCCCTAAGGATTTTGCCGCTACCACCAGTCCGAGCTTCACACGAACGAGCAGTGCCGTTTCCAGCGGCAACTACGGCGCGCGCGTTCGAGAGAGGGCGCGGAGGAACGCCGCTCGGGGGGCGGCAGCCGCGGTGGCGGCGGTAGCCAGCGAGGGGGTAGACCGCCGCCGGAGCCCGGCCGTGGTGGCGGGCGATGGGTGAGGATTGAAGGGCAGCAGCACCACACCGGTCATGGTGGTAGTGTCTGGGGCCAAGCCTCGCCCCCCCCGCGACCTCTTCGTGAACGTGGGCCTGGTGGTCGTTTGGGGCGTCACCCGGGGGGTCGTGGGCCCGCGGGACGCCACAGCAGCGACGGTCGTGCCGAGCGAGAGCGGGCAGGGAGAGGCCCGGCGCACGCGCGTTCTGGCCACGGACGAGAGCAGGCGTACGTAGCGTATCACGTCCACGATGATGGTGGTTACTACGAAGATTACGGCGACTACGACGACGGATACTATTGCGACGACGACTACTACGACGCCGAGTACGCACACTACGCCAGCGGTGGGGACAGCTGCAGCTAATCCTCCGGGTACGAAGGCAGCCGCTCATCTGACGGTGGCATCCACTATGTCTACTACCCTCCCGCTGGCGAAGATTCGTCATTCGAGCAGCCACGTCAGCCACCCCCCGCGAGCAGCAGCACCACCGCTTCCTCCTCGTCCTCTACTACTTCTCCTGGCGCGCCTCCATCTTCGGGCTACCTCCACCTCTGCACTGAACAATCGGTGCCCATAGGCAAGTCTCACCCTGACGATTTTTTCAGTAGGATAGAGTCTCACCCTGAAGATTTTTTCAGTAGGATAGGAGTGACGATTGGAGTAGAGTCTGCTGCGTCTACTTCGTCTTTGCTGAGTGTGGAATCTAGTGAGAGGCCGCCTGGTAGCGAGAGATGGGTAGCTGACTCAGGAGCCAGCAACAGTTTCACCAACAGCAGCCTGCACATGTATGACCTGCAAGAGATCCCGCCAGTAGGAAGTATGTCGTTGTAGGTGGTGGTCGACTGCTAGAAGTGCAAGCCATCGGTAGTATTAATCGTAGTTTCTTTCAGGAGGATGAGAATGGTGAGAGAACGACGATGTGTGTGAAGCTCACTGACGTGTCTGTTGTAGAGAGCCTGAGCTTCAACTTGTTCTCAACGCATGCTGTTTCTCTGAAGCAACCAATCCT